TGAGTTATACCATTGGTCCATCTAGCTCAGTATTGTCTACACTAACTGGCAGCAGTTCTCCAGAGTTTCAGATAGTGGTCTCTCCCAGCCCTACTTGGAGATTCCGCAATCTTCTGCATGCAAAGTGCAGATGTTCTGCCGCTGAGCTAGGACCCTTCCCTCATATTCATGGGCCTGGGACGAGACAGAAGATACTGCAACATTCCCAGGCACCCTCCTCTGCCTTTCTTTTTTCTTTTTACTGCCTTCTTCACACAGCTGTAGGAGTTTATTAGTGAGAGGAGAAGCCGTCAGTTCCAGACACAAGAAGCGTTATTTAGTCTAGAGACTCTCAAAGGAAGTATCCGTTTGCACGTGAAAAATCTCTGGAATTTCTCCCTTGCTCGCCTGTGTCTTCGACACAGAAGTGCTGCTTTCTGTTCAGCCTCCCTTTGCACCCTGGATTGGGCTGGTATCTCCGCAAATCGTCCGACTTGATCCTGGTCAGTGTGTGTAAGAACATAAGAAGAGCCTGCTGGATCTGGCCCATGGCCCATCTTATCCAGCATCCTGTTCTCACAGGGGCCAACCAGCAAAAGAAGAGAAGAAGAAGAGTTTGGATTTGATATCCCGCCTTTCACTCCCCTTCAGGAGCAGTGGGCAGAGAGAGCTAGGGATGCGGACAAAATTTGAGTCAGTTTGCATTGAAAGGCAAACCTAATTTTTACCTTTTTAAAAAATACCCAAGGTGAAACACAGCCATCATTTGAAATACATACTTCTCTTAATTTTGCATTTTGGTTCTCCAAATGTGTATAAAAATGCATTATATTAAGGTGTGCATAAATCCGAATATACTTGTGAAAATATCCTACAAAAATACATTATTATTAGAGGAATATATTGCATACAGAAATGAGTATATTTGGAGATGCTGATGAGGATGTTTTAATTTAAAAAAAAAAAAACACCTGATGTGATAATGTGGAGAACTGAACTTAAAGTTGGAAAAAATGACTAATATTGACAGATTCATCATTCCCTGGCGTTGTCCTATATTACTTGATCTTGCTTTCACTGATTCCCAAATACATGACACTCAAAAAAAGAACGGAAAACAAATAACTTTGCCTCCCCCCGCCGGCAAAAAAAGGTTTGTTTCTTTTCTTGATGAATTCCTAGGAAGCATCTCCAAGCAATTTAACAATAGAAATGTCAATGATAAAACCATGCATAAAACAAAGCCTGTTTGGTGCAGTGGTTAGAGTGTTGACTAAGACCTGGGAGACCAGGGTTCAAATCCCCATTCAGTCAAGAGAAGCTTACTGGGTGACACTGGGCCAGTTGCTCACTCTCAACTGAACCTGCCTTCACAGGGTTGCTGAGAGGATACAATGGGAAGGAAGAAGAAACATGTGCAACACTTTGAGCAACTTTGTGGGAAGATGGGATATTAATGTAAAGAATTAACAACATTTTAGCTAGGTACACACCCATTTCCTTCATGCACACCTGGTTTTGACACAAAACTTTCGCCCGCCTACCCCACCCAAATTCTGTGTGTGTGTGCTCTCCCTTCCTCCTCCTCAGTTGAATATATAAGGCACAGCTTTCCAAACTTTTCATGTTGGTGACACACGTTTTAGACACGCATCATTTTGCGGCACAGTAATTCAGTTTTACTAGCAAACCAGAGGTTCAACTAACCCCTTTCCAGCCCTGGGAGGAGAGCAGGGAGTCCTACGCACTGCAGCCGGCACACTAACATGTCGTGACACACACTTTGGGAAGCTCTGACATAAGGGATGAAATGATCTTTTAGATATCGTTAGACATCTAAGTTTGACCAAACTGCGGGAGGCAGTGGAAGACAGGAGTGCCTGGCGTGCTCTGGTCCATGGGGTCACGAAGAGTCAGACACGACTAAACGACTAAACAACAACAGACATCTAAAGTTAACTAAACAGGAACATTGAATATAGCAGCTTCCTATACAGTGGCACCTTGGGTTTGCAAACTTAATCTGTTCCGGAAGTCCATTCTTAAACCAAAACTGTTCCTAAACCAAGGCGCGCTTTTCCTAATGAGACCTCCTGCCGCCGGTGCCCTTCCACCGTTCAGATTCCATTCTTAGACTGAGGTAAAGTTATCAAACCGGAACACTATTTCTGGTTTTGTGGAGTTTGTGAACCAAGCCGTTCTTAAACCGGACTGTTCTTAAACCGAGGTACTACTGTACTCTGAATCAGACAATTGGTCTGCCTAGTTATGTAAACTATCCACTGACTGGCAGCTGCTCTCATGTGAACATATGAAGTGCCTGCTGGAACAGGCTAATGGCCCATCTGATCCAGTCTCCTGTTCTCACAGTGGCTAACCAGATGCCTGAGGGAAACCCATAAGTAGGACCCAAGCACAAGAGCACTCTCCTATCCTGTGGCTTAAAGAAACTGGTACAGGGGTACCTCAGGTTACATACGCTTCAGGTTACATACGCTTCAGGTTACATACGCTTCAGGTTACAGACTCCACTAACCCAGAAATAGTACCTCGGGTTAAGAACTTTGCTTCAGGATGAGAACAGAAATCGTGCTCTGGCGGCCCGGCGGCAGCAGGAGGCCCCATTAGCTAAAGTGGTGCTTCAGGTTAAGAACAGTTTCAGGTTAAGAACAGACCTCCAGAACGAATTAAGTTCTTAACCTGAGGTACCACTGTATTCAGAAGCACTACTGCCTCTGCCTGTGGAGGCAGAGCAGTGTCATTATAGCTGGTACCCATTGATAGCTTTATCCTCCATGAATTTGTCCAGTCCTCTTTGAAAGCCATCCAAGTTGGTGGCCATCACTGACCTCCTGTTACTTGTGAGTTTGTTTTTTGTTTTTTTAAAAAAAAAATCAGATTCTTCTATTGTGGCATAGCCTGACCTTTGTATTATAGCAGGCAGACATCTGAAGGAAGGAGTTGGCCTGCACAGGGTTAAGGAACGCAGACAGAAGAGGATGGGAAAAGCTGAACTAGCCAAACTCCAGGTGCTGATTATTCAAAAATTTCCATCCAGACAGTTGGCTCCAGTCTATCCTCTTTCCCCTATGACTTGGGCATTCAAGTCCACAAGCTTTTCTCCGGAAACCCTGAGTAACAGACACCTGCTTGGATGCTTCATTTTCCATCCTTAGTCAACCTGGTGCCCCTCCAGATGTTTTGGACCACAATTCCCACCAGTCCCAGCCAGCATAGTTAGGGGAAGGGCTGATGGGAGCTATAGTCCAAAACAACTGGAGGGCCCCAGGTTGGGGAAGGCTGCTCAGTTGCCACTCTCTGACATCCTTGCCAGTTGAGCAAGTCCTTAGGAAAGGATTGGGCATTGCAGAAAATCTGACTTTCTGGATTCACTTCCTAAGCATGAGGACATAAGAAGAGTCAGCTGGACCAGACCCAGTCCAGCAGCCTGTTCTCACATGGGCCAACCAGATCCCCCAATGGGGAATCAGCAAGCAAGACTCTCTGCTCTTGAAGTTTCTAGCAACTGGTATTCAGGAGAATACCGCCTCTGTCTGTGGAGTTAGTGCACCACGATCCCTGGAAGTGAAGTTTAGCTAGGCAGCTGTGTGAAAAACTCCTTCCTTTCGTCTGTCCTGAAACACCCAACATGGAGGTTCATTCGTCAGCCCCAAGTTTAGTGTTATATGAGAGAGGGAGTGGGGGAAAACTTTTATCTTTCCACTTTCTCTAGGCCATGCATAATTTTGTGCATCTCTTTTCATGTTGCCTGTAACTCACTTTGCAAGTCACCATGACCTGCTGATTGTCAGGGTTTCGTTAATAGTGCTGTTTGTTGTTGTTGTTTTTTTTAAAGGGTGGCATTGTGAAATCAAGTGAATGATAGGGAGTCTACCACAATATCCTTCATTACTGGAACCAGGGTGCAGAATAGTAAAACTCTGCAGAATAACTAATGCATACTACCTCAGTTCAATTTTGCAAAAATGTATACAGGTTGCAGAATTTTGATTGCCTGGGTGCAGAATTAATATACTTGTTCTGAGGCATAACCATCCCAACAGATGTCTGAGTCCATCTCAGCATCTCAGCAGGAAGAATGAGCTGGGGAATACCTCTGAGATGTGCAGAGAGCCTTTCCTTCATACCTAGATCAACCCCAGCCTAAATGGCAAGCCGGAGAACAATGGCACAACACCTCCTATTTTACATATGGGGCACTGCTAGTGCCTCTGAGCATGTGCAAAGGGCATTTCCCCATATTACCAACTCTCTTTTAATAGCTCCTGTACACTGCGGGAGAAACAGGAATGAGAGATGATCCTTCAACAGCATCTCAGTATGTCTCAATTGGAGAACAACCCAAAGTCTATTATTTTACAAATGAAGACCTTGTGTCTCTGGTCATGTGCAAAAAACATTTCCCATATCACCAAGGTACCTGTGAGCTGCTCTTGTGCATTGGGGGGGATAGAAGGAAGAGACGACCTTTCAAGGGCATCCTAGCTTGGAGAGCAATTCAACCCCTCTCATTCTACAAAGGTGCCATTGGTACCTCTGAGCACGTGCAAAGAACATTTCGCATCTCACCAAGCTTTCGTTCATTGAGGGGTGGGGATAAGAGACAAGGTGGATCTTTCAAGGGCATCTGGCATGTCTCATTTTACAAATCAAGTGCTCTTCACCCGCTGAGGGCCACCCCCACTCTAACAAGGATCCTGGTCAGATGGCCTTGCCTTAAGTGAACAAAGGACAGCTTCTTGGAGGGCCTCCTTTTCCTGTCTGCTCCAGCGACATTGACCATAGCCTTGCTCGCTAGGCGATTAAACAGGGGGATCATTTGCCGGCAAGCTATAAATAGGCCACCAGGCCGGTGTCACTGAGTCTGTGTGTGTTACTCACAGCTGGTGTGTCAGCCAAAGTTCTCCAGTCAGGAAACGAAAGTCCCTCCCGGCTCTCGTCTCTTCCGCGGCCCTCTTCCCCTTCCCGCCTCCTTCCTCAGCAACCCTTTTCCTCTGTACCTTGAGTCCAGAAATGCAAACATCTGCCAGGTGATGGCCTAGGCCAGACCCCTTCTTCTCTTGCAGTGGGCTGGCAGGATTCCCTAGGAAGCACAGGAGGAGACTAGATGGTGCTTGTGACTGAAGGGACAACCCTGAGAAAAAGGGGAGACAGAACATCATGAAGAGTCCTGCAGGATCAAGCCAAAGGTCTGTCTAATCAAGTATCCTGTTTCCCACAGTGGTCAGTCAGGTGTCCAACAGGCAGGGCATGAAGGCAACAGTCCTCCCTTACTGCTACATAGGAAAGGACATTGGTCCATCTAGCTCAATATTGTCTACACTGACTGGCAGCAGCTCCCTGGGTAATCAGACAGGGGCCACAGCAAGCCCAACCTGGAGATGCCGGAAATGGAACCTGGGACCTTCTACATGTAAAGCAGGGGGAGGAGGTAGCGACATTGCTCAGTGATGGTCATTGTTGTGCCACACCAAAACCACTGGTGTGAATGAAATTTAGGGTGACATGGCAGCATATTGGTCAAAAAGCCACAGTTCCATAATTCCACAGTGAAAGGAACAGAAGGGCTAGCATTTGTTAATCTATTGCTCCAATCAACATGGTCAGCGCAAACTGTGGCAAATCCTGGCCAATTCATTGGACCACAGTCAAGGTTCAATTTTGCTGAGGTTCAATGAATGCTGGTTCACTGGCCAAGATTTGCCATGGTGTGCACTGATGTTAACTGAACCAACAGCATTATAATCAGGAAAACTGATGCCATATTCCCCATATACACCCTTAGTTGCCTCTGCCTGTCACTGTCTTTGCCTGTCTTTGGGCTCTCTGCCTTCCGCCCTACCATTCCCAACAAGCACCAACCACTACTGCATGAGGTGAATTGTAGTCCAAAACATCTGGAGGGCACCAGGTTATGGGAGAGAAGCTGAGGTAGATCTCTGGTAATCTGACCCAAGATCATGTGCTTGTAATGTCATCAGTCAGTCTAAAGGATGACATTGTCAGAGTCAGGTTGTGTTGACCTTGGCAGCCAGCCATCTTCCTCATCACTTTGTGGGCAGGCGGCTTCCAGCCCCATCTGCCTGCACCATTCTGCTGAAACCACATGCACACACATGCGGAAAAAAGCCAGGAGAAACACACACACACACACACAACCACCCCAAAGAAAACCAAGGGCAGATGTTCTTTCTTCCCTTTCAGAGCCTGCCACACAGCTGCTGCAGCTTGTGGTTGGGGTGGGTTAGTCAGTCTGTCTGTCTCGGAGTCAACGTGAGACGCTGAGGTTGCATTTACTGGAAATGATGGCCAATTTGTGGCTGATTGACTCGGCTGATACTTAAGTGTTTTGCAGGAAGGAGTCACAACTCAGTGGCAGAGAATATCCTTTCTGTACAGGAAGTGTCCTAGTTTTGATCCCCAGCATTTCCAGGGTCTGGGTTTTTTAAAGGATTTTGGGGTGCATCCTGGTTGGCATCCATCTGTCTCAGGGGACAATGGAGGAGTAGACCTAGAGGGGATGAAGTCAAATCGTTGGAGAGTTACAGCACCTGCTGTGGCTGTAGACACTGATACAGGGGAGATATGTTTAGTTGCAGGCAGGGCAGATGAAGGTGTCCGGTTGTGCTGATGCAGGTGTACTATGCCGTTTCTTATTTCTGTGGTCCTTCTTCCTCTGATCACTGTTATGGTTAAACGTCCTGTCTGTCTGTCTCCAGGCAAGGGATTCCCACAGAGTGGGGGTTAATGTTGTCAGCTTTCATGTCACATTTGCAGACATCTTTGTATCGCAGAGTTGGTCTGCCAATGGGCCTGCTGCCTGAAGCCAGCTCCCCATACAGCAGGGTGCATCCATACTGCAACTATTTTGTGGGAGGGTTTAAAGCACATACTGGAAATTAAAGTTTCCACAGTTAAAAGGCTCAGTTTCCTTTCTCCTCCTGTGATGAAGCTGCATTTTAATGTTTTAATGTTGTATTTTAATCTTGTTTTTAAGTTGTATTCATTCAACTTGTTTTTATTATCGGTTGTTAGCCGCCCTGACCCCGGCCTTGGCTGGGGAGGGCGGGGTATAAATAAATTTTATTATTATTTATTATTATTATTAGGGTGCTTAAGAGCATAAGAACATAACAATGACTCACCTAGTCCAGCATCCTGTTCTCACAGTGGACAATCAGATGTCTCAGTTGGAATCCCTCATGCAGAATCCAAACACAATAGCACTCTCCCCTCCCATGTTTTCTGCACCTGGTATTCAGAAGCACCAGTTGTGGAGGCAGAGCACACACACATATGCTCTACAGTCATGACCACACACTATTTTCTTTTCTTTTCCTGTTGCCACAATTGTTCAGTACTATCTGCACTGACTGGCAGCAGCTCTCCAGAGATTCAGACAGGGGACACTGCCAGTAGTGCCTGGAGATGCTGGGCATTGAAGCTGACACCTTCAGCAGGCAAAGAAGATGCCCTTGCAATGAGATACAGCCCTTCCCTTCAGATAGACAAATGTAGGAAACTACCCTATACCAAGCCAGGCTCTTGGCCCATCTAGTTCAGTATTGTCTACACCGACTGGCAGAGGCTCGTCAGACTTTCAGAGATAGCAAGTGTTTCCCAGCTCTGCCTGGAGATGCCACAGATTGATCCTGCAACCTTCAAACCAGAGACTGAACTGAAACACAGCCATCCTTAGAAATGCGTGCTTCTCTGAATTCTGCAGTGCAGTTCTGCAGCCAAGTAATGTGCACAAAAATGTACATAATTGGGTAAAGTGTGCATAAAAGTGCATTATCCATGAAAACAATCTAATAAATCGAACAATTGCAAACTGATATGGAAATGTGGGGAACGGAACTTAGGCATGAAAAAGTGGATAAATTTGCTCATCCGTAAAGGTAAAGGGACCCCTGACTATTAGGTCCAGTCGTGACCGACTCTGGGGTTGCGGTGCTCATCTCGCTTTATTGGCTGAGGGAGCCGACGCACAGCTTCTGGGTCATGTGGCCAGCATGACTAAGCCGCTTCTGGGAAACCAGAGCAGTACACGGAAATGCCGTTTACCTTCCCGCCGGAGTGGTACTTATTTATGTACTTGCACTTTGACGTGCTTTCGAACTGCTAGGTTGGCAGGAGCATGGACCGAGCAACGGGAGCTCACCCTGTCGCGGGGATTTGAACCGCCGACCTTCTGATCGGCAAGTCCTCGGCTCTGTGGTTTAACCCACAGAGTCCCTTACTCGTCCCTACATTCCACCAAATATAATTTTTGTTATAGTACAGCTTAGATTAGAATCATTAGATAGAAATACAGCACCCTGCCCAAGGTCTTACAGCAAGCCAGTGGCAGAGTTCAAAGGAAGGGGGAGGAAAGCACTCAGACACTTCAGGCTCCAGAAAATTCCTTCCTTGTCTGAAGCGCTCCTTCCTTGTCCTACAAACCAGGCCGTGAGATCAACCACCGGGGAAAGCGCCAGACCAGTAGGCTGCAATGAGTACAGTGTGATCGCTATCAGTGCCTGTAGCAATTAACAAGTCCCTTTGCCCTTGTCGGGAAGCAGCAAATCCAGAGACGCCTGAGGGAAGTGCCAGGAATGGACACCGGCCCCTCAGCACCGAGCCTGCTCCCCACCCCGCTTCATGCCAGGATTGTACAAGCTCTTTGCAAAGGTGTCATAAATCTGGCAAACGACTCTGGCTGGCTCGGGCAGCTCCCATTCCCATGCACAGAGAGCCCTGCTTCAACAACACAGGTCAGGGCCTTGTCCTGTGCCAAGAAGCCAGAGCACATGGGGGTTGCATAGCAACTCCTAGGCACATTGGGCCTAGCGGCTTCTAAGTCAAGTGGGAAGAGACCAGCGGCAATTTTAGAGGGGTGGAAGGAAGGGAGGCAAAGTAGAACATTATAGGAGATGGGGAACTTTTTTCCTCTTGAGAAATTTTGTGTGTGTGTGTGTGTGTGTTTTAGTGTGGGGGAATAGAAGGGAAGTGAGAAAAAGCTTTCCCTTCTTAGGAACATATGAAGTTATCCTATATTGAGTGAGTGAGTGAGTCAGTCAGTTTGTACACCTAGGCCAGTATTGTCCACTCATAGCTGTCAACTTACAGATTTGAAAATAAGGGACCAGCAGCCTCGAAAATAAGGGATCAGCAGCCAAAATAAGGGATTTTCAGAGCACACGTATGTTCAACTTCTGAGCTCCTCCGAGCCAAAGGCAGAAAGCCCAGCCAGCAGCCAAATGAAGCCTCAAGTGGTGGTTCCCACAGCGCAGCAACCCAGCAAAGGGGATGCAGCAAGGAAAACCACCGTCACCTCTCCCCTGGGAAGCGCTGAGCAAAGGTGAGTCCCCAGGCAACGCAGCAGATTTGATTGGCACAAGGCATGCAAGCTCCACCCCCCAGTCGTTCGTAGACTCCTTATTGGGTGAGCAATGCAGCCAAGCAACACAGTTGGAGCCTCCCTCCTCCCTGGCCGGCAGGGAGGGAGAAGAGCTGCTTCCTTTGAAACCCGGGAAATTTAAGGGACATCATCAATAAGGGACAGCAGCGGGACACGGCGCTGGGATAAGGGACTTTCCCACCAAATAAGGGACGGTTGACAGCTATGTGTCCACTCCAGGGATGGGGAATGTCAAGTCCGAGGGCCAGATGTAGGCCTCTCTATGTGGCTTTCACTACTCTCCTCAGGTCACACCCTCTCCATTAGCCAAACCCCTCACTGCCATCCTTTGCAGATCCTTTAAGTGTTTTTGCCAGACTCCTTCCGGGGTCCTGGATCATCATACTTCAACCCACTAGGACCTTCCCCTATGTCAGAATTCTCCAGCTCCCGTGTTTCTTCCAACTCCTCTTCCAAACACGCTCTCCACAATGTCTCCGCAGGACTCGTGACAGAGCCGAGCCTGACAAAGCTTCCTCTGGTTTTCATCTACCTGCAGTGTGGTCCTGATTAACTGCGGCCAGCTCTGCCGTCTCCACAAAACCATCTGGGCAACACTGCCAGCAAAGCCACTGTCTGCCTCGGCTTTGTGAGAATGGGCCACAAAGACGTCTGTCCGTGCCTCTGACAGGAAGCCTGCAAAGCTTGCTCCGAGGTGTCTGCGAAATGACGCCTCCGTGGTCTCTCAACACGGGGAGGCTGTTGGAGGAGGGCAGAGATCTGCAAAATGGAGGAAGTTGGGTAGGTTGGAGGAAGGAAAGAAGAGGCCAGGAAAGCAAAGAAGCAGAGAAGGTGGAGGCAGGAGGTAGGGGAGGCAGAAAACCTCTCTCTCTGCTAGGGACCGTTGGCTGATAGGATTATATGGCCACCAACTTAGATGGCTTGGACAAACTCAGAAGGATAAGGCTATCTATGATGGCTCTGCTCTGCTTCCGTGCTTCTAAATACCAGCTGCTGGAAGCCACAGGACGAGAGAGTGCTCTTGTGCTTGGGTCCTGCCACAGGCATCTGTGAGGAAAAGGATGCTGGTCTAGGTGGGTCATTGGCCTGATCCTGCAATACTTCTCCATCATCAATGACCATCCGCCATGTTTGGCAGAGATTATGGGGACTTTTAGATCACTGACATCTGGAGGGCCACACGCTTCCCACCCTTGCTTCAGAATAGCCCAGTGGAGAGTGCAGACCCTCCTAGTGTCCCTAGTTCCCAGGGATTTGATTTCCCCGGTTTCTGATTTGATCCTGGAATGTTCCACTTTTCCTTAGGATGTCCCTATTCTCGTTGGAAAAATGTTGGAGGGTATGGAGTTATCTAACCTGCCGAGCCGTCTGAAGGGAATCCTGTATAGGGAAGTTTTTAAAAAATGTTTATGTTTTTATTATGTTGGAAGCTGGCCAGTAAAATTATCATTATAGAATGGGACGTCCCTATTTTCATTGGAGAAATGTTGGAGGGTATGATAGTGGGCGGCAGGTTGAACTAGTGAGGGGCCCCTCCTGAGTCCTGGGACCCTCAGGTCTGGACTTGCTACTAGCTGAACAACCGCTGGGAACCAGTTCTCTAAGAATAACTTTTTAATGTATATTTTCCAACCTGTGCAGCCTACTAAAACAGCACAAACTGTTTTCTTTTCATGTGGTTTCAGCTCCAATTTGTTGCCTTTAGAGGGATTTTCCATGCCTGCATTCCTTTGCTTTTAAGAAAGTGGGAATTCCCTCCACCTCTTCCTCTAACACTACACACACAAACACACACACAACCCTCCACTTTTTAGCTTGGATGACCGCATGGGGTGGGCAGTACCAGAAACCAGGCTCCCAATGCAGAGGTCTGGCCTAACTCCTCTCTTGGTAGCTTAACTGAAAACCTCCTGGAATTCTCCCAGATTCCCCAAACAGGTTTCATCTCAGTAAAAGAAATCACATACCTGGAGCGATTCTGCAGCCATTACGCCAGAACGAAAAAGCTGGGCCAGTTCAAACAATTTCAAGTTCTTCTAGGCACAGAAGTGGGTCTTGCTTTCTTCACAGCATTTTCTTGGTCCGTCTAGCTCAGTACTCTTGACCCTGACTTGCTACAGCTCTCCAGCATTTCAGATAGGATACATTCCTATCCCTACTTGGAGATGCTGAAGATTGAACCTGGGACCTTCTGTATGCAAAACAGATGCTCTACCACTGAACTACAACCTTTCCCTTGAGATGTCCTTTGGTAATATGCCCTCTGGTGAGCTGTAGCACAAAATCAGCTGCTTGAGGCAATTGCCTGGTGCATTGTGGGAAATTAAAATGGGAGCTTGTCAGGTTCCAGCTGCCCAGCACTGACATGGCCAGGGAGGCTGTGTTATTTAATTTATTATGATTGCATTTTTATCACCAGAGAGAAGAACATTTGTAGCTTTTTTATGTTCTTTTTTGCCTAAAATAACTCTGCTGGCTTTGGAAACTGCCATACCATTTATTGGGCCACTGAGCCTCAGGCAGCAAAATGTATTGGGCCCGTCCCATACTCGATGTAGCATCAGCCCGAGGCATTGTGGGAAATTAAAATGGCAGCCTGAGGTGCTCACTTGGAGTTGCCATATATGGATGGAGCTGGAAAGGCAAAAGTGGGTGAAATAATGAATACAAATTTTATTCTTTGCAGACTAGTTTTGACAGACACTCAGCCTCCCTTCTCAATCCTCCATCCAGGCATGTGAGAGGCATTACTGGCTTTCAAGAACACATTCCCAAACAGGCAAAAACATTAAGGCTTAAACTGCACTATATATTTAAAGCAATATCATGCCACTTAAAAAGTCATGGCTTTCCCCAAAAAATCATGGGAATGATGATTTGTTAAGAGACTGCAATTTCTCTCCCAGAACTGCAATTCCCAGAGTTCCCTAGGAAGAGAGGTAAAGGTACCCCTGCCCGTACGGGCCAGTTGTGTCCGACTCTAGGGTTGTGCGCCCATCTCACTTCAGAGGCCGGGTGCCAGCGCTGTCCAGAGACACTTCCGGGTCACATGGCCAGCGTGACGAAGCTGCTCTGGCGAGCCAGCACCAGCGCAGCACACGGAAACACCGTTTACCTTCCTGCTATAAAGTGGTACCTATTTATCTACTTGCACTTAAGGGTGCTTTCGAACTGCTAGGTGGGCAGGAGCTGGGACCGAAAGACGGGAGCTCACCCCGCTGCGGGGATTCGAACCGCCGACCATACGATCGGCAAGTCCTAGGCACTGAGGTTTTACCCACAGCGCCACCCGCGTCCCTTAGGAAGAGAGATTGACTGTTAAATAACTGTTATGTACTGAGTTGAATAGGATTCAGAATGCAGCAGTCTGATTGGTCCTAGTGTGGCATCTGAATATAGACTGCATTTTTAATCAAGACTTATATTGGCTTATATCTTGATCAGGTTCCTAAATTAAATGGGCTTAGATTTTCAAATGTTTCATGCCAGCTGCTTAGAGAACCTTAGGCAATGTTTTCCTCCTAGACAAGGGGCCCCTTGATTTATAGCAGAAAACAATTCTCAAAGTCGTAAAAAAAGGGGAATTACAGGTTAAGAGCAAGGTTACAGACCCAACATAATTAAGAGTTGGTAAATAGTAAAATAAAACCATTAAACTTGAGCCACAGGACAAAAGGCCAAGAGCAAATGGAAGAGAAAACAACTGGCTGGAGAAGGGGAAGAGGCTTTTATTTCCTATTTTATTTTGAAGCTGTAAACTGTTCCTTTTTCTACTTTACAAAGGCCTTATTCCTTTTAAGAGGCTACCTGTGTTGTGTATTAAGTGTATTGGCATAGATGTAATTATGCAAAGGATTTAAGAAATGCTAGATTCTTATTTCATATAGTTGTAAGAGTTGTATTTATCCTGAAATTAAGTCAGCCACCAGCCTAGCCCCCCTGCCAGACAGGAGACGCCATCCAAGCAGTCCTGATATATATAGTTGTCAGGCATTTGTTTAGAAACCTTCAAATGAAGGAGATCTTTCAATGTTGATGTGAAACTCAAGATCCTTGACATATGTTTAAGATAAAAATTTAAGATTAACCATTTGTTTTAGAAGGCAATAGGGCAAGGAGGGCAAGAGGTGAGCTGGTAATTAAGATTCCTTGTTGAGACACATGTAAGATATATTACTACTTATTTGTCATTTATAGATGTAACAATATATAGCTCTTTGTGTTCCATATAAGGACAGGAGGATATGGGTGTATCTTTTTGTGATTGGTTATACCAATCAGCCAATAGGAATTTCAACCAGGCTGATTGGACAGAGGCAGCCACAGGAGGAGCAAAGGGGGCTGGATTAAGGGAATATAAGTGCTGGCCATAATGGCAGGAGGCCAGGCCAGAGCTTGGTAACCATATACCACTGTGCCTCTCATTTATTTGTCTGACAAATAAATTATTATTTTAATTTCTCTATTGCTGCGTTGAATATTTCATTCCAGCTAAGCGTTAACCACAAGCAGGGTGCTACACTAGAACAATAGGATCCAGAATACAGCAGTTTGATTGGTCCACAGGAGCCACCCAATCCAGCTCCAGGTGGAAGAGAATCCACAACCTGATTAGCCTACAGGAAAATCCTGGAATTAGCCAATCACGTGGGGCCCATTGTGTAAATAATGTATATAAGGCAGACATTCTGGGGGAACTTCCATTCATCCTCACCACTATGCGCTGAATAAAGAGCTTGAAATCCACTCG